CTGATAATCAGCTGGATGTTCATCCACCCTTCCAACCGATGCTCACAAGTGGCATGATCCATCACCATGTCACAGTTGTTTGGCATGTGCCAATGTGGTCCAACATCATTTTGAAATATTTTGAATAGGCCAATCATATAATCCATACCAATCCAAACCATGGTCCCCATATCTTCACAGCCTGTTTCAATTTAGCCTCCACCCTGTCACCTGCTGATGTCAGGGTGCAGGTTCCGTCATCCAGCGGATAATACCCCTCCGCACAGTTGTTGCAAGCGATGCCTGGAATCTGAAAGGAATTACATAAACAAAGCAAGAAAAACACGAGCAGAAGGCCGTTGAAGCCACCATTGACTTCCAATGCATCACACTACAAGAAGGGCCACCTTCACAATGCAATCATCTCCCGAGACACCTTGACGGCCCGAAGCACAAGTGCTCAAGGAACTTCCAGGGCATTCCAGAGTGTCTCGGCAGCGAATGACCTCGAAGCTACACCTTGGAAGCAACGGTTGCAATGAAATCCTCCAGAAGATGACCATCAATTGTCAAAACTGGGACAAACCCAAACCTCAAAGAACATGAATTATCTCCAGTACCACGTCAATCATCGCAAAGCCTTGAATCCAAAAGACCAAAGGACCAGCAGTCCTCCAGAATCAAAACCATCCCTGGTCCACCCCACAGCTTCGTCGCTTCATCAGGCCAAAGCACTCTTGATCTCCGAACGTCCAAAAGCCAGGTTGTTGTGTTGGTGGGTCCAATCCTAGCATGTGGCCGCTGTCTTCGCAAACTATCCCATTCCAGCGGGATTAATTTTGGACCCATACCTATCAGATGACCCATCATAGCCTCCACCCGGCAAAGTGACCCACCTGTCCTGCTGCACAAGACAGCCCCTCTGGACACGGCTGGCAGCCCACAGTGCTCGAAGAATTGCACATGAAGGTTCCTATCATCGCTGAGCACATCGCTTTGGAAAAGACCAACTGTCCCAGATCAACTTCGCAAAGCTCAAGAAATAGGTCAGTTGATCCGAAAGAAAATGTGTTTAGGGTCGGGTTTTGCAACAATCCCTAGAATTCTACAATGTCAGCGATAACTCACTTTGGCCCAATGGGTACAGCTACCTGCTAAATCGCTTGGACACATGATGATGTCACCTTTGGGGTTTTGATGTTGTTGCACTTACTTTAAGACGGGCTACTACACCTTTAGGGCTTTAGGGTTGCTGCTGCACTTGCTTTAAGATGGGCTACTACTACACCTTTAGGGTTTCGGTATTGTTGCACTTATTTTACAACAGGCTACTACACCTGTAGGGTTTTGATGTTTCCGTACTTGCTTTGAGACAGGCTACTACACCTTTCGGGCTTACATGCTGCTGCACTTGCTGTAAGATGGGCTAGTACTGTACACCCTCAGGGTTTTGATGTTGCTGGACTTTCCTTCACATATGTTGATGATGATGTTGATGAAGATCATGATGAGGTTGATGCTGTTGTTCATGCTGTTGTTGATGCTGATGTTGATGATGATGATGTCGATGATGTTGATGATGAAGAGGAGGACAGGGAAAGTGAGCATCATACTGGGAACCATAGAAGGGTTACAGTACAAGCGATGCACATCAGGGGGTTACAAGAGATCCAAAATTTGGGGGTACCAGCGAACCCGCCATCAACAAATTTTGTGCAAACGGGTTTCCATATATGTAAGTCTTGAAAATCAATTTTCATCTGGAGATGAGTCATCAATTGCGTGTCAAAAAATATGCACAATGATTTCTAGTTGAACATGACCAGATCATTTTTGAACCCCCCAAGACCGCCGCCGTGACGCCTTCGGCGCATCTGCAGTCCATCTGTGACTGCGAACCACTTTCTTCAGTCACTTGGCCCATGCCGCACCTGACAGAAATTTGAGGATGTTCGCAAGAAATGGTCCCATGTTCCATGGGGAAAACTAGCCAATTTTGTGGATTCCCTGTGAATTTTGCTGGTTTCATACTGAGGTCCACTTGTGAAATCTAAAGGTCTTGCATCGCACTTGCAACTAATTAAAGATTTGTTTCAAGTCTCAAGAAATCGCCATCCAAATGAGAACCCGAAATGGGTATGTGGTCATGGCTTATTAAAACAATTTGCATGGCTTGGAATGAAACCATCGGAATCTCGAGGGTGAACTGGTCAACGGAAACTGATAGAAGCTGAGGCGCGGAATGCACTGGGTCGCTTCCTTGTTTGGCATATAGGTACCCTTGGGGCACTTCATGCATGCCTGACGGGACCAACTCTGCTCCCGGATTCTCGGCAAGGAGGCACATTGGACCAACCAGATTGGACATTTTTTGTCTCAAGTCATCCAATTTCCGGATAAATGACACTTTGAGCCTCTGAGCCATGACTTCATGGACTCATCTCATTCCACTCACATACTCTGGAACGTAGGCATGCCTTGGTTTTCTGCTCAAGACTATGTCGCTCGAACCACCCGAGAATATCTATTTTGTAAGCACATCCCAACTTAACGACACTGACAGGTCCTAGCCTGCGCCTCAGGCGCTTTGCACAGGAAAAAAAAACGTAAATACACCATGGTAGCGAGTGACAACCAGTCAACTTGTGCTTATGTTTCAAGCAAACATGCGTCAAACCTTTGCCTTCGTGGTCCCAAAATAATGTCTGGTTCAATACGTTAGGCATACTAGAATCTCCAGAGTGTCAGGAAGTCTGCGAGTTGCTGTGGGCATGTCTCAAAAATTCGATATGTCCCCATGACTTATCATAGTTTTCCCGCGAAAATCCTTGCCGCAGAGTGGGAGCAGATGGACAACCCATTCTTACTGGCTTATAGCTTCTGACAAATCTCCCCCAACCAATTTTGCCCCGAATGTATCACTGGCTCACATACCATTGGGAATTATACCACCAAGTGTGGATATCCCATGGGCCTCCTGCCCCTCCAAGTCCGTGTAGAAGCCCGCGAGGCACTGACCACATTCGGCAGAGCCCACCTGTCATTGACAAGTTTGGATGCTCGAAAAGGAGGGATTTATATATATATATATCATCTAATCTAGTAATTCAATATAAAATATGTCTGTGTGTAAAATGTATAGAATATATATATATATCATGATATAACGTACAGTAATATGATATTTGAATGACAATAATCCATGTCTGGCCATTACAAGAATAGCATTTGACACGCAGCACCAAATGTGACTAATGAGTTGCACAAATCCCAGACCTTCCGTTTCCTGGGACCAGCATTGAGTAACACTGAGGCTTCTTCTGTGAACTCAATTTATATTGTGTCCATGGCGTCACAGAACACCTCTACCCCTGTGGCAAAACCGGGAGAGGTGCATCATCCAGGAACAAATTCTCCACATCAACGGCAGTTCATCACCCTCAAATACCGAAGCTGACTTGTTGGCCTGTAGTGGTTACCCCAAGACTGACCATCATTTGGGCATGGGTCAAAATTATGTGTCAAAAAAAAAGCTGTTAAACGCCAAAAGGTGTCTTAAAAAAATTGAGCCATGCCTATTCTCTCACCATATCTTCATTATCCCATGATTGATTGGTTTTATCCCACATGTTTTTGATTACATTCTTACATCCTCGTGTTTTTTGGCTGACTTGCCCATGCTATCTTGCTTAAACCATTCCAAAATTGGTCCCAAACAGATGAGCTATATAGATATCCATTGATAATGGTTTCCCATTGACAATTGAAAATGAATGATCTCCAGCCAGTAAGTTTGGCTGGCCAAACTCCAACTTACTATGGAGTTTAGATTACCAAAAATTATCATATCACATTATATGTTCCACGAGTTTGAATCTTCCCAACTCCAATCTTCGTGCCTCTGCAGCAAAGTTTCCAGCGGCACAAGGGCGGCACTCGACCCTGAGGTCAAATTCCATCCGTGCTGGGAAACATCCGATCATGAATACCATTACGGATCGTGAACCAGGGGTGTCAAAATACTTAACATGCTATTTGATAAGGTGTCGTTATGTAACCCTAATCAACCCTTTTTTCGGCGCTGAGAAGAAAACTAGATTGTTTCTTGGGGTATCCTTGGGGGAGTACCCAAAGAGATGTCCATGAAAATAAAGGTCATGGTTGGTCACTTGAACAGCTCAATTCATCTGCTGCCTGTGATCTGCGCACAATGACAAGATCAAATCGGTTCAAATCATATGGCGGGACCTTCTCATGATCTAGAGGCCCTCTACTACCTCTCCAGAGGTGCGATCCAAGGATCATCCCAGTTTCATTGGCAAAGTAACCTCGTCCACATTGCTGGTATGGCAATGCACCACCTGGACATTTGAAGCCTGCGCCAGTTCGGACTGCGCTGTCCGGTGAATATGTGTATGCAGAATATATATATAATAAATTATATATATATATAGATAGATAACGATTAACATCGTCCAATGAGAAGCAACGACATCTGTATAGATATACATATATACATATATATATATATTCCTTATATATCTGTGTGTGCGGTTATTGGGTGCAGCTCTGGATACCAATTTCTTATTTACTTCGCCGGATTTGAACGCTGAGGACAAGCTTCGCCCCGGCCTCGAGGACAAGCTTTGCACTGGCCTGAAATCTCCTCCTGGCAATCTTCAAATAACCTCTGGCAATTGATGGAAAATCACCAGGTTCAATAGACAAATAATCTATAAATGGGCCATGTTTCATAGCTATGTTAAATTACCGGATGGCATAGGAGAGCTGTCTGCTGTCTGGGTCCTTGTAGAAGCCAGGATCGCAGTTTGTGAGGGCAGCCGGAGGCTTCGGCCAAATCTGTCCATCCATCCAGTAGAGTCCGGAACCTCTGGAACGACACTTCCAGTAGATTTCAACAGATTCTTGGCCCTTTCAGAATCCAATAGATTCCAAAATAAATTCCAATAGATTTCAATAGATTCCAATAGATTCCAATAGATTTCAATAGATTTCAATAGATTTCAATAGATTCAAAAGCAAACTCAATGCCAAGCAGATTCCACAAAGTCCACTGAGCCGACTGCTTAGGATGGTCAACTCACCGTTTGTTGCACTGAACATGCCAGCCATTTCCAGAACCTTGCCACCCGATCCGTCCTGCGGAAAACAGGTAAACAGCATCTGGCGGGCAATCTTTGGGGTAATGAATCTTTGCGCATGGTTTTCAGTGGAACATCTTTCTAAAATTGAGGTTTAATAGAACTGGAATTTATCAAGTTGTAGTGCCAAACGAATATACAGTATATAGTCCGTTTCTTGTGGAACTTAACACCATTGTTTGTTAATACAAGGATCTCAAAATAGATCCTTTTTTTCCTGGATGCTTTGTATGATATGCACTCTATAATTTCCAGGTTCAATTTGTTCCTATCTAATTTGAGGTTGCTATAACCCTTTCGGCCCGCTGTCCGGTCGCTGGTTCAAGAGCTCATAGGACGCCAAGCGATCCCCGTTGGCATTGAAACTCACTGGTCCTGCAACAGGATCCGCCGCACAACATCGTCATCCCAACATGGACAGAAACATACATATCTACCATATTATGTATACTATATTGTATATTGTATTATATCATGCTATATTACATCATATCATAGAATATTGTATCATGTTATATTCTATTACACTATATCATATTATATATAATAGTATATTAACTCATGTAATATGATAGTGTATTAGATAATATAGTATCATATCATATTTGCAGTGTAATATTTGACATCATATTATGTTATATCATATTATACTAGACAATACTATTGTTTTTTGTCATATCATTTCATATTATATCATACTATGTATTTATTATTGTACTGTATTGTACTGTATTATATTTCGTTGTATGTCACATATCTACATATACTAGGATGTGTATATATACATTCTGATGTGCATTATATATATATACATATGTGATCATATGTGTACATATATTCTGTCTATGTTTACCAAAATCTGATATTTCACCAGTTCTCGACTCATCCATTGTTTTCAAGATCTCGCCTGAAATGCCTTCGAACTGTGTGATTTTCACCTGGTCCAGAAGCGTCTGCTCTTTGATGTCTGCCAAGGCAGTTCCCTCGGGACAACGCTTGATGCGCTGGACTGGACGAACCAGTTGGTACATTGTTCATAGCTATTATACATACATACATACATTACATTACATTACATTACATTACATTACAATACATTACAATACAATACAATACAATACATTACATACATTACATGCATTACATACATTACATGCATTACATGCATTACATACATTACATACATACCATACATTACATACATACCATACATACCATACATACATACCATACATACATACCATACATTACATACATACCATACATTACATACATACCATACATTACATACATACCATACATACATACATACATACATACATACTTACTTACTTACTTACATTACATACATACATACATACTTACTTACTTACTTACATTACATACATTCCTCCATTACATACATTACATTACATTACATACATTACATTACATTACATTACATTACATTACATTACATACATTACATTACATTACATTACATTACATTACATACATTACATTACATAACATTACATAACATTACATAACATTACTTAACATTACATAACATTACATTACATTACATAACATTACATTACATAACATAACATTACATACATACATAACATTACATACATACATAACATTACATACATAACATAACATTACATACATAACATAACATTACATACATAACATAACATTACATACATAACATAACATTACATACATAACATAACATTACATACATAACATAACATTACATACATAACATTACATACATAACATAACATTACATACATAACATTACATACATAACATTACATACATAACATTACATACATAACATAACATTACATACATAACATAACATTACATACATAACATAACATTACATACATAACATAACATTACATACATAACATAACATTACATACATAACATTACATTACATACATAACATTACATACATACATAACATTACATACATACATAACATTACATACATACATACCATTACATACATACATACATACCATTACATACATACATACATACCATTACATACATACATACATAGACCATACATACATACATACATACATACATACAATACATTACATACAATACATTACATACATTACATTACATACATTACTCCATTACATACATTACATTACATACATTGCATTACATACATTACATTACATACATTACATTACATACATTACATTACATACATTACATTACATACATTACTCCATTACATACATTACATTACATACATTGCATTACATACATTGCATTACATACATTACATTACATACATTACATTACATACATTACATTACATACATTACATTACATACATTACAGG